GACTGTGTTATTCTTCCTTAACCTTCCTCCTCACTCATTCTCCTCTGTTCCCAAACTTTCAATAAACCAAGCTGCCAGAGTACAAAAAGAGGTATTCTGCTTTTAAAAGATGCCTGACTGCAAATGTCAGTTATAAATATTTAAACATTATTTTCTTTCAATTTCAAGTCCAGACTGACAAGATGCTTTAATTAGTCTGGAACTTTCTTCCAAGCCAGTCCAAGAGCAAGATTTCAGAAAGGAACCTGTAGTGCAGATGTAATAGTTTTGCCTTTGGGAGGCCAGTACCAAGGAGAAGTCAAAGAGAGGCCATGACACCCAGTAAAATTATGTCTGGGTCAGATATGATGCATTAAATTCACTTTTAAACCAATATCAGATTTTTTTTTTTTTAAAGCTCACGTTTAGCAGGAGTTTTAAGTTGTTTTTAACTACACGAAGAGGAAGGGAAAAAATATTGGAGTTATTTAAACTCAAGCACTTAGTCAAGGAAAGGAGTTCACTTTCTTTCTTTTTTATGGGTTGAAAACCCAACTTGCAGCCAACCCATCTTATCCAGAACTGATGTGTATTTTTCTACTTCCTTGTCGCTTCACTCTGCCACCTACTGAAACCGTTCCTGTGACACCCCTCCACACAACCACCCACCCACACTTGCCACCCTGCTCCCTAACCCCCAGCAGCTCTAGACAGGACGTTTGGAACTCGCAGCTGGGGCGGCTCCAGGTAAAAGTAACTTTTCAAGTTTTGTTTGAGGTACCCGCAGGCCAGTCGCTGCCGTCTCCTCCACCTTGGGGCAGATTGGATTCCCCAGCCTAGATGTAAGATCCTACGACCTTGATTTCAGACTCTGGTCACCCAACCATCCAGTGTCCTGCCCCCCCCCGCCCCCGTCAGATTCCATCCTCCCTTTCACTCCGCCGAATCCAGGACTCTCTAGACGTTAGTGCCCCCCACCTTCAAAGCCCCGCATTGCCAACCATGAGAGCAGCCTTGTCTGTCTAGGCCCTGCCGCCACGGGATTGCCAGCAGGTCCCAGGTTCATGCCCCATCCCCCTCTGGAAGAAGCGTCTCCTTAACGCCTGTAGAGGCAAACCTTGGGATGTCAGGCAAACCCTTCCCCTAATAGGGAAGCGGTGGCCAGGCGGCGAAGAACACTGGCCTAGGCAGCTGGGAATTGGGAGAGTGGAGAAAATGGAGCTCATATGGGATTGGGTCCCGCTCCTTCACCCTTTCCATTGTCCGCGAGCGATTGGGACCTAGCGAGAGTTGGGGTAGCTGAAAGGAGGAGGAGTTGGGGTGCCCTAGAAGGAGAGACCAGAACTCTTCAGGCAATCACTATCCTTGACATTTTTATTTGACCTTTGAATGAATTCCAAGCTCTCTGTGTGAGGGAGCAGCGGCGAGAGGAACTGCAACCCCGCAGCGCTGAAAGGCTCTCGCCGCTCTCCTAGAGAACAGTACTTGCCCCTGTGCCACCAACCCCAAGCAGCCAGGCGGCCGCCTAGGATTCTTTCTCTTAGCGGTGCGGTCGTCGCGAGCTGCCCGTGCTACCGGTCTGGAGGTGAACCGCCCCACTCCAGTGCTCTTGCTGCGAACGCTTGGCCGGGCCTGAGCGTGCCGGATCCTGGGAGGCAAGGCAAATGCCCATTAAAATACAAGCGCAATCCAACTGCTTCTGAAGTGTAACTCACTGCTAGGTCTCAATTGCCGTTCGCCTGACACTGCTTTAAAGCTGTGAGCCTGTTTGGTGCTCGTTAAAGGGATGAAGGCCTGTTAGAAACATAGTAACGTTCATGGATGATTCCACACCCCCTTTCCCCAACGCCCAGCATACTCAAGTGTTACTTTGGGGTTACTTGGAAGTGAATGTGTGTGTGGCACGTTCATAAGTGTGAGTGTAGTCGTTTGCCGGAGTGTGCATTGATGTGTACACCACATAAGGGGTGAGTTATGGGAGCACTCACAGAACCAGTTTGGGTATAAAAGCGTCTATGTGCGCCTTGTATCTCTATGCGGGAAGGTTGGTAAATCCTTATTTACAAGCGAAAACATAGGCCAGGGCGCTTGAAATCTCCTATTTCCCCAATATGAACAATTGGATGTCGGGTAGGGCATGCGTGGCATGGCGCCATTGCTGTGTTCCCGCGTGCCAGCGTGTGTGACTGGAGAGCTTTCTTGATAGCTGCGCCGAGCTCCGGAGCTGGCTGTGCGCGCTTTGCCCGCGTGGCGGAACAGCAGAGCCTCTCTACCCTCTGACAAGCAAGGTTTCCTTTGTTGTGGCCGCCTTGTTTGTCCGCCACTTCTGAGGTGCTGGTCCCATTGGAAGCTTGGGGCAGGCGCGGAGTCCGACGGGCGCTCGAGGCTCGCACCCTGGAGGGTCTTGACGATCGCGGCTCAGAGTGCCGGGCGCCTAGCCGGGAAAGGATGGCGTCGCGAATCCTCCCGCGACAGCCTGGCTCAGTGTGGGGAGGGCAAGGAACCATCATTTTTCAAACTAGCCACCCATTTAGATGTAGATTTTGACCTCTCACCCAAAGCCGGAGGAATCGGCGACCCTTTCAAGCGAAATGCTAATCCCAGGGAGCCGCGGGGCGAATCCCTGCCGCCAGATCCCAGCCCAAGACTGTGGACCCCACGCTCGCGCGCTATCCGCTGGCCAACGTCCCAGGGGCCGGGGTCTCCGGAGCCGCGAGTTCCTGCAGCTCTCCTTTCTTCACGCCAGCCGCCCGCGCTCAGAAACTGAGCGCCCCTCCCGGCTCCCCTGCCAGGGGTGGGGGCGGCCCGCCGGTCTCCGAGAGGAGGAGCTGGAGGCGGCGCGCAGGGCCCCGGCGGGGGCCGCTTTAAATGTGCCGCTGGACAGACGCGAATAATCAAACGCCGCTCGCCCGAGAGGAAGAGAACCCCGGGGGCGCCCCTCCACCGCTGCCGCGAGCCAGACCCGGACCCAAGCTTTCGGTCCCCGCACTGGGCTCCGGGCGGTGCGCTCCACGGGGAGGGCGCCTCCCCTCCCCTCCTTTGCCTGATTATGCCGCGTCGTGGTTGGATACCTCCTATTTATTTATTTGGTTTTGGCTCTCACCCCGCGTGGGGAGGGGGTGCGGGGAGTGGCTGAGGGGACGGCTTGGGGAGAGATTTGGCTTCCTTGCCGGGGGTGGGGGTTGGACGGTTCTCAGGAGTGACTTTTTTCTGGCAGCGGCTCCAAGTGCTTGGGAAGGCGGGCGGGGAGGAGGAGGAGAGGGATAGGAGAAAGGGAGGGGGGGGTCTCCTCGTCGCACTCTCCGCGGCGGAGAGCGAAAGTGCTGTGCGCCAGGGACCCAGCGGCAGCCGCGGGATTTGCGGCCACACCGGCTTCGGGAATCCGCGCCACACGCCCCCCGCTCTCGCTCCCACTCTCCTTCCTCCACCCCCCTCTGTCATTCTTGGCTCTCCCCACTTTCCCTCCCTCTCTTTCTTTCCTTCTCTACCGGGTGCTCCTCCTTCTCTTTCTTTAACATCCCCCTCCTTTCTCCTCTCCTCAATCCACCTCCCGCGGTTTACAAACCTAACCGTCCTCCTCCTAGCCGCGCATCCAGGCAAGAAAATCTGGGAGTCTTTTCTCATTTATCCCGCGTTTCCATTAACTCAGTCCCAGCACTAGCTAATCCGCTGTACTGAAGGCAAAAGGAGGCTAATTAATGACCAGCTTTTCCAGTCAAGACCAGCGATAATTGCTTTGGTGGCCTTTATGATTACAAGATAAAAATGGACCCGGCCTGACATAAGAGGCACTGTGTACACTGCAAGACAGGAGGAAATTAAGAGTTGGGTAGCTGAATACAGAGCAGAAAATTACTAATAGAAGAGAGATAATGAATAGGCCGGCTAGGCATTCATGGGGAAAAATCCATTTTGTTACCACGCGAAATTAGGTGGTGGAAAGGAGTTTGCTAATTGTTCTCATCTTGTAGCAACCAGGACTGAGGCAGGGGCGTGCTTTTCAATTCATTTCCCTAGTAATTGTGAAAAGGGTGTGCTGGCCAAGTGAGTCTCGCTGCAATTTGCAGGCCGGTCTTTTCATTTTCCTGTTGCGTTTTTAATTGTTGCTAATATACCTTATAATGAAGCTAATGAGGGGAAATCAGGGTACAACTTTTAGCATAGGGAAACAAGTGCACCAAAAGAACTTTCTAATATTTTTTTCCTGCATCCCCGCCCCTTGAAACAGTCAGACTGAAGGAGTTTGGAACCCTCATTTTTTACACCGCTCAAAACTGAACTCCCTAAACCATCCTCTTCTACACATCTTGTGGCAAAACAAAGAAAAACAACAAAAAAAAGCTTATGTGTAGAAGTATGTGCCTGGCAGACACTCATGTATGTGGAGAGTGACTTACATTGGCCCCTATCGTACCAATGAATGTAACTTTGAGGGCAAGCAGAGCGATTTCCAGGATGACAAATCACCTAAAATATTAAGAATATTAATATGAAGATTTATCAAATCAGTCCTATATTCTGTTATGTGTTAAATTATTTGACTTCTGTTGCTACTTGTAATCAAAACAGGGTCCAGCTATTCTCCATCCCTTTCTCCTGCCCTCACCCCCAGCCCTCCACTTTTGTTGTGCAGGCTCTGGATAAATTGCTGTATCCCCCCTCCCCATACTTTTTAAAAAGAAGGGATAAACAAATTATTTCACTTAAGGTAGCAAATTAGCTGCCAAATACTCTACATTGTTCAGTTTGGAAAGTGGGTGCCATTAAGAAGAAAAAAGTTATGCCTTTAACTTTCCTCTTGAAAATACTGTAGTTTGTAATAGTACTGTTTTAAATAACTACTTGTTTAAGGGGTGCTGCTGTGTATATCCGTCCTGTTGTTGTTTTCATGCCAACACAGAATCGTGTTCTGTTGATTTTCGCATTTCCAAGTTGCATTTTAAAAGTATGTGTGTCTTGGGTTTTTAAGAGGTCATGATTTATGAAGTACTAACATGCTACCTCTCTTCCTTTTTCTGCAGAAAAGCAAGCTCAAGCTTCTGCCTCATCAAGTAGAGCAAGAAGATTCCACCAAGTTCGTGGTCCTAACCCTGATCTCCATTGCATGCATCATTGGGGTCCTCTTGGCTTCAGGGGTCATCTACTGCCTGCGCCATAGCTCTCACTACAAACTGAAGGAGAAGCTCTCAGGACTAGGGGGGGACCCGGGCTCAGATGCCACCACTGCTTACCAGGTAAAAGGAGACTTCTTAAAAAACTGGTGTATTCAGTTCATTACCTGAACAGACAGACGGTTTAACTTCTCTCTGGTCCCTCCCCCATTCCCAGCAATGATTCCTTTATTCATGCTTTAGGATCTTTTATGATGACAATGTGGAACTTCTCATTAGCATTCATGTAAATATACTGCAACCACAGTTTTACAGCTCTTTATATTAATCTTATGCTGTTCTTGGATAGTCTCATGTTAGCTGTGAAAGCAAGTTGCTAATTAGAAATGTAGAAAAAGTATAATAGATGAATTATATATTATCTGTTATCTTTCTTAGTTTGACCACTATTAATGAAAAATGTCAGAGTTGCAAGATAAATTGGTTGTGTAGATGTTTGAAGATGTCCCTTAAATCATCAACTTCCTCAGGGTTTTATATGAAAAGATCCTTTGACCTGATCTGTTGCCACCCTTTGCTATTATTGGGATAAAGTGAAATATAATGCTGATAAATGGGAAGTAAACCAAGGATGTCTCCATGAGAACAATGGAGACAGCTGTGAACTGGTGGTACAGAAATATTACAGACAAATCTGGAAAATAAATTAGAAACCAATGAGATTGTGAAGAAGGCAGGTTCAGACCAAATTGGGCATAGAAACAATTCACAGTTTAGTTTGGAAGTAAAAATATACCTTCAGTTTTAACAGCAGTGCAAGCTTAGAATATATACAAGTCAGAGCATTTGATTTCTTTTAATATAAAATTATCATTTAATTCCCATTTGGGAAAGTAAAATAATTTACTTAATCTGTGCTTTAAAAGTTTAATAGATATATATTTGTGAAAGCTTTTCTCCCATTGGATTAGATTCTTTGTTTTCTCTAGTCACGTGATTATTATGTGTAATAGGCCTTGTAAATAATACATTGCATTTTACAATCATATATAAATTAAATATTATTATTCTATCACCAGAGTTACATGGGGGGTTGAGGATAGGCTCTCAAGCTCTTTCCAGAAAAATATCACCAAATTGCTCAGCAGTGTGTCCTTTATGAGGTCGTCTGAGCTAGAATTTCTCTGCCCTATGGGCCACTCTGACCCTGTGTGATTTAAAGAGAGCTGTGGGATGAATTTACAAAATCTCCAAGTTGAAAAGACACCAGGCGATAACTTCTCCCATCTCAAAAGCATTATGTATCGCCACCCAATTGAGAAAACTGGAGGTTTTCTAGAAGGGACTTACATGTCTGGTCATTAAACTCTTTTCCTTATAAAGAACTTCAGATGTGTTGAAGATGGCATTTCAGTAACAGTATGTAGCATTGCTTCAAAGCAAAAGAAAAATCACTTTTGAAAAAGAAGGCAGAAAAAGATGCACCTAAACGAGTAAGAGTTTATCCACAAATTGTATTGAGAAAGAACATCAATATAAAACAGGTCTTCAGGGCCAGGACTGTGTCAGTACATCAATAAATTATCACACCAGTTCTGTTCTATGTATGAAAGATGGAAGATCATACTGGCGTAGATTTTTAGAAAGCTTGGCATCCTTTGATATACTCTGAAATTCAAATATAAAATATTGATAGGATGGAAAGGTTGGACTTGCATGCCGAAATGACTAATTTTTACAAAAATGCAGGTTGCAAATGCATACTTAAAACTGAGTTTGTGATAATTAACAGAAAAAAAAATCTTCCCAGTGACAGCTCTAATTAATAGTATCTGTAATTAAAATCGTGCCCTTCCAGCAGGAAAATTGTTTGAATTTCTTGGAGTGACCTTTTTGCTGTTCCTCCTGGGGGCATGGTGGTTAAGTTGATATTGATTTTATAATGAGCTCTGGTTTGTTTAATAAGAATCTGTAATCCAGACAGTAAATGAAATGTGTGCTTTCTTCAATTCAGATTAATAAAAAGGGAAAAAAGAAAGAAAGAAAAAAAAAAACATTTTTCCTTTAAAATTATGATCTAGGAAAATTTGGAAATGAAATTATTCAAAAATTTTCTGTGTGGCTTAGTTTTGAAATCACTCCCTTTAGGGATCTACTTTAAATGTGAGACCTTGCCCCATCAAAGTAGTTTGTTTATTAGTCAGAAAAAGCTGGTGCTCAGCTATTGTTGCGTTCTTTTTGTTTATTTATTTATTTTTAGCAGAGTAGGACTCAGCAAATGGGGAGGAAGATTACATGATTTTTAGCTTGAAATTTAACTGAGTAGTATATTAAAGCCTCATAAAATTACAGCTATAAATAGAGAATATTTACATTTGAAAATGAAACAGGTATTAATTCAGTAATGTATCTATAGCTCATTTGGGTTTTCCATAGCTGCTACTGAGACTTCTTTGAGTTTAAAAATATGTCTGAAAAGTTTTTAAAATATTACAAACATAAAGTGATAAATTGCAGGCAAAGTTGTTGATTTAATCTATTTCTTCTTAGAAATATTGTATTTAGCTGATACTAGAGTGAGTGAGTGAGAAACTAAAAGTGAGCTTGTGGACAGACTTGTCATAGTTCTCGATCACTGGGTTACAAGGAAAATGGAAAAATGTGATAATTATGATTTATATCATGGGCACATGAGAGAAACAGTTAATTCATTTTTAAAAGTTGATGAGAAAGATTGTTGTGTAAGTTAGGTTAGAAGTAATTGAAGAGTGATAGAAGGGTAGGTGGCAACATAATAAGTTTCATTAATAGCAGGATTGTGAATGACCTTTTAAGCAAAAGAACCAGGTGTTGTCACTGAGGGAAAGAAGAGAAAAGGGAAGGAGAACAGGAATTCTGATAAGAGTGTGAAAAGGAGTAAAGCTCAGAGTTGCTATTTTGGGTGAGACATTGATGCCCTCTATTTATGAGAGTCCTCCTTCCCATGGAGTCTCAAAGTAGAATAAACTTGTTCCAGTGAAAGAACACTAGCTTTGGTATATTAGCAAGATGCTTCTAACAGAATCTGGGAGGCAGTTCATTATGTTGACTTCATAAAGTGTTTGTCTGCGTCAGCCCATACAAGGTACGTCTTGTAATATGCCTCCCATTGAAGATACTGGCAATCTCTGTAATACCCATGCATGCACATAGCTCATGGCATGAAATTTTGAGGTACAGTGAATCATGCAGTGTTTCTGAATAATCAGTAGGTTTTTCTTAACTTAGTTTCAAGGCATTAAGTATATTATAAATTAATAGATTCTAATGTGAACATCTTTAAGCAGTTTCACTTTTTCTTCCTCAAAATAAAACTACTTTATAGACAGAGTCAACATTTTAATGCTTATTTAGTTCACAGGTATGTGTGTGTATGTGAGAGAGAGAGAGAGAGAGAGAGAGAGAGATTTTTGTTTGCTTTACTTATTGGAAAATCAAATCTTTTTTGACAATCTCCTATACTTTTAACAAGATATCAATCTTATGAGATAATCTATCAAAATTTAATTTGCTCAGATTTGAAAGAATTGGGAATATTAACTTTCAGAATAACTGAAATACATTTTTAAAGGTAATTTTTTAATGGAATAATGACATCCACTTTTTTGCATCATATTTAGTAAATGTTTCTTTTAGTAAATGTTTTTTATGTATATAGGACATAGTATAATTGGATTAAGTTTGTGCTTCATTATCTAGAAGGCCAATTTTGTTTGCTTTTATTCTTTTTTTCCAAATTGGCATGGCATTTCATGTGTGTGTGTGTATATGTGTGTATCCTAAGAATAATGTAAAGGCACAAAAAAATTGTGAGATTTGGTGTACCAGTATACTTCATGTATTTTTTCATGTAGGTGCCCTATTTCTATGAGTGGTGATTGGGTGAAAACTGTGCCAAAAATAAGTCGTTAGATTATTAGAAGATATTCTCTTTCTTTCTCTCTATCGAGTCTCTTTTTTGAATGTTGCATCCATTTCTTTGATGCTTTGATCATCTTTGAACAGCAAGTTTAGTATTCTGCCAGCCCACTCTTCCTTCTATGACATGAGGGCAGAGACTCCTGTGGAATTTTCAGTTAGTTCTCTTTTGATGGTGTATTTCACAATATTGAGCAGGTTTCCTTGTGTACTTTGAGGCCTTTGGAACCAAACCCAGAGAAAAGCATGCATTCAGGCTGTGGGGACTGCCTATAAACAGAGCCTCTAAGTGCACATCTTGGTTGTCACTGCTCCCATTAGCAAGTGATTATTAATGTAATGACAGTGCGCATGGTGATTGCTGCTATTTGGGGATGTTCCATCAACTCGGGCTGATGTGTTTGTGAGTCCAAATGCACCCTGACTTCTAACCTCTGATTGAGGGTAGAGCAGGTTCAACAAAGAGAGGACATGTCACAAGTTGGCTTATTATCTTGGGTGTTGAATTAAGAGAGCTTTCTATTTCTAGATGAGTTTAAGCTTCTAGAATTGATGTAATCACTAGTAATAGAAATGGCAACAGGGTAGAATGTTCCCAATTAAGTTGGAAAACATAGTGAAATTTTCTGAGATTTACTTGACCCCACAAGTTTCTTTTCCATTTAATTCAGTTATATATCTTAGAATGGCTTTCTTTGCTTTGTATTTAAAATTTCAGATAAAAATATTTTTTGTAAATATCCAATAAACAAAATCTATCATACTCCAAAAAGTGGAAGGCACTCTGAAATAGTGTTAAAGACTTTTCTTTTTAGTATAATTTAGTAAAGCATGAGATTTAGAATTTTCCTAATTTTACCATTGTAAAAGAAGCTACTAAGTAGAATTCCTTAGGTAGAATTCTCTCAAAACTGTTCAGATACTGATTTGGTTTTGTGTGTGTGTGTGTGTGTGTGTGTTTATCTTCTCAGATAGATTCTGTACTCCTTGAGGGTAAAGGCCTTTTTATATTATACATGCAGAAATATGCTTGGGTTTAATAGTAAAATAAGTAAATATTTAGTTGTTGCCAGAGTCCGTGCTTCTTGAGCTAGTAATGTAATTACCTAAGGAAAACTTGCAAAATTTTTCTACAATGAGGGTAAAGGAATACATTTCTCCCCAAC